GAGGCAAGTTCCTATATGGATTTGCACTGCACAGAAATGGAGATGTAAGGGCTGAGTCGCACTTCTGACAAATGAGATACAAGGGCTGCTCGTTACACCAGAATAACCTCACGGGCCATGATGGATTTCCTCTGATTTGTCAAGTGGCACCACCAATATTGATAACAAGTGACTTTGGTGTTGTGGAAACCATATAAAAATCTGACAGCCTCGCACAGGGAATCTCTGATGACAGCAGTGTGTGTAGTACACCTGCATGGGCCTCTTCACCGAAAGCCGCCACCCCTGACTCTGAGCCCTAGGGGATAAGGAATTTCTATGTGTGTCCCCTTCTCTGCCCTCCTTTAGTGCCAGTTTTGGCAAATGAGTTCCAGAGGGGTGAGCATGTCCGGGGGCCTGGCTGTGGAGGTGATGCAAGTGTGTGATCATCGCAGGGCTCCCACTGCGTGAGCTCCAGCTATAGGTGTTGGAGCCCATCAGTGGCATGCCTTGGATACCTGGGCTGCTCCTTGAATTGGTATCAATCCCCAGCTGGGCCAGTAACTCCCTCAGCTGGAATGGGAAGGAAGGTGACCAGCAAAACAGCACAAGCTGTCTAATTTTAGCTCCCTGCTGTTGGGCCAGCTTCTGCTAACAACAGTGTCAATGACAAAACCAACATTAATTTGAGTGGGAAAAGGACTGAACCCAAATTAATATATGCTGGCCTGTGTAATTATCTTTATTGGCTGATGGGGAAGGAAGACCTTACTCACTCAATGCATTTCTATGGCTGCCTGGCTGTGCTCCAGCGATGTACCAGCCTGTGAACAGACGGGCTGGAAGAGGGGGACGGGAGTGCTATATCCCTTCATGAGGGGCAGTAATTCACTGTCATCCCCATATGATTAAATCCTGCTTATTTCAAACAGGCAGGTAATGGAGAAACTCCCACAAATATGGTGGGTAGGATTTAGCTCCAGGTGCTTGTGGAAAACTTTCCCTATTGAGTCCAAAGTTCAAAATCCTAATCCCTGTGAATGGCCATAGAGGAGAGCATGTTGATTTTAGCAGGTGTTAAACACTGCCTTTCTAGACTGGTAAAAAGAGTGAAGATTGAAGAAAATGGCAATATACTCAGGAGCACAAGGTGACAGGTCAGCTTCACTAAGTGCTAGGGATGGACACAGACTAAAGAGAAATCCTATTTGGCAGCACAGAGAATCTGCTGGGCTTGGCAGCCTGAAGCCTACTCTACGATAATTGTTTTCTTCTTCAGTAAACCAATGTATTGATTAGGATAAGCAAAAAGGATCAGTCCCTATGGAGCTCTGCAAGGCACTTTACCACTTTGCTTAGTTCAGATGGTCATGGTTGATAATTCCCATGTTTTTCCTCTGCTGAGGAATTTAGGGGTTTTTCCTCTTTCTGAAAACAAATTGCCACATGTGATTTCATACGCTCACACTTACATATTTGTGGGGAGTCCCAAAATCTAATTTCCATTGTGCCAACTCCTGTTTAGCACAGACTTAATTTTGCAACTTTTAAATAATTTCTCATGACAAAACAATATTGTGGGATATTGAAACAAAGCAGACACTTTAATAGAAGCATGCTGAAAGCATTCTGCCAGGAAGCACACACCAGTGTTATCTTAGTGATAGCTCAATGACTGGTTAAAGCAGTGCAGGTCCAAGATGGCACAGAGATGTGGAGTTGTTCCTGACCCTTGTGTGGATTCTCCAATGCTCTTGAATCTCCCTTTTTTACTATGAGGCAGTACACAGATAATCTGCAATTGAGAGGATTCTCTAGCTTGTTTTCTGCTCTTAATAATAATCCATGGCAAGGATATCAAGATGCAAACCATGCCGGGCAAGCTAATAGGAAAGAGGCCACCATCAGTAGATGCTGTCAGTAATCTTCCTGCAAAGACTATAGTGATTCTTTGGGCTGGTCTTCTTTAGCTGGCCATCTGCTTTGCATTCCCTGGTGGTGCTTCAGTTTGGATCTCCGGTTTGTTTGTCATTTCAGTCTCCCACTTTATTATTTCCAGAGCCAAGTGAACCGCTGCCAACACCAATGCAGTGAGATTGCATTGTGAGCTTTGCGACATGGTATACTTTCCTCTTTATCTTGAAGCCTCAGCTCCTGGAATTAGTTGATTTTGTTAGAATCCCAGCATTCATTTAAAAGGAAAAAAATAAGTAGATCTCTGCTCCTCATGAACTAAGGAAAAAGCTTGAAAAAGAGGGATTCCTGCAGACTTAGCAATCACAAGCCAAATAAAAAGAGGCTTTTTTTTTTTTCTCCCCCCCCCCCCCCATCCCAACATCAGGCTGTTTTACAGACAATCTTCCTATTTCTGAGTCTCTCCCAGTTTTTGAGTGCTGGGTGCTGGCAAACCTGAGCGGCAGCTGTTCATTTCTAAAGGCAGGGAAAATAAGTAGTCATCTCTAACAGGAAAAGTTATTTTATATTTGCCTGGGTTGCCTTCCTCTCTGCCCCTGCAGTGCACTCCTGCCTGTGGTCAGCACGGCATTGGGAGCCCATTGCAGTAGCTCAGAGAGCAGCTCACATCCCACTAAGTCCCAGTGAGAAACGGGAGGGCAAGATGTTGTGTTACCAGAACTGTGATTCCCTTGAGGTCAGGAACGGCAGCTGCTGCTGTCACTAACCCATAACTTTAAATAATCTTAGCTATGGATGTATGTCATTTCTGTGCTCATGGCTCATCTGAAATGTCATTAGGGCTTGCCCAGTTCTGGGGTGGAGGCTGTCACTCTTTTCCCAGCGTGGGGATGTATTTGTGATGCAATTACTAGAGCTATGAAGGGCCCATCATTTCTGTATCAGTTTGCCTAGAATACTCTTTTCTTACTTTGATTTTTCTGTGGGAAAAGAGATGACGCTTAAGACTGATTTTAACAAAATATGTTTGTTGGTCTGGATTTTTCATCACTCTGGGCTGGGGCCTTAGGGAAACATATTTGCTTTTATTGCTTTTTTCTGGTAACTAAATGGAATTAGCATTCCCTGCCATTGCTGGCCAACTGGATCCAGTGCAAGTCAGTGCAAACGAAGGACAACAACTGTCATGAATCTGCAGCAGGAAAGTATTAAAAATTAAAAGAACAACAAAAAAGAACATGAACAGCCACAGGTCACATTTGTTGCTGGCCTGACGATGGAACTGATGATGCTTGATACTTCCCAGTTTTGCTGATGTGGTTTTATTTTCTTTTGGTCTGTCACATTTCTTCAGTACTTTCACTGTTATTTGTAGCTGGAGATGACAGGAACACAAACATTTTCCGTGTAACCTACAGCACGTGGAAGGAGTGCGTTGTACAGAGGCACCTGGATAGGGCATTCATTCATGCCCTTTCCACATACTGTTAAAAAGCACTCGCTGTCATTCACAGGCTTTTTAGATGGGCAAGAAAACCACCAGGCCTTCAAACTTTGTGATGCTGACGTGGAAGAAAGAAATGTCTTTCTAGTTAATTAGGTTTTTTTTTTTATACTTAATTTTATCTGGTGCTGTTCTATTGATACTGAGGTTCCCTGGCACAGTAGCAACTCATCAGTCACAGAGTATCAAGAGTTAGTTGGGGACTTCTAAACTTCTGTAAGAATTCTGCCAACAATTAACTTTATAGTCCTGTAGTAGCAACTCAATGAAATTGACAGAAGCAGCCCCTCTGATTTGTGTATCCATGCTTCTGTTGTCATTGCTCCGCAGGTCATCTGTAGTCATTCTTCTTCCTCAGAAAAGTCCTTAACCTGGAAAGAGGGAAGAAGATGTGAAACAGGAGAACATCTTCAGCTTAGGTTTTGTTTTTCAACTGTGCCCCTCGTTTAACGCTATTTAGTTGGGAACTGATTTTACAAATCTCCATGAACCAAACCTGGCATTTCACTGGAATTTTAAGGGAAGCAAGGAGTCTGGGCTCACAGAGAGGAGGGAAGAGCAGCAAGTGGGCATGTGATGGAGAAGTTCTTCATGAATACAAGTATGAGCTGTCCTGGTAACCAGTAGCTACTGAGTATATTGAAAATTCTTTCAGTTTTCTACCTTGATTCTTAGCTCAGGAATAAAATGTGTAGGGAAAGCACTCATTGCCATCTGGTAAAACCAAAGCATTTGCATATAGTGGCAAAACAACCAACTTTTTAAGGTAGAAAAAACATTTCCACTGATCTGATTCCCAACACATGAAACTCAAAGCGAAAATGAGCTGTCTTGCTGCTGAAGCCTTTGTGCCCCACGCAGGGTAGCTAAGTACCAGGATGATGCTTGGCAGGTTGGGCACTCAGGGGCCAAATGGACCAAAAGGATGGAGTCTTGAGGGTGTCAGTGGAGCCAAAAGCAGGGGGAGCTGCTCAGGGTGAAATGAACACTAAACCTTGCTTCCTTTATTTTTATTGGATCCTTTGGAAAAACCACACTGATTTATCTTGAGGGCAGCAGGGAAGGATGTCCTGGAAGTGCTGTCCTGTGCCAGCTGTGCTCGGGTCTGCTCGGATCCCAGAGGGTGCGTGTGCTGCACATTGAGGCTACTGCGGGCTGTTTTCCCCGGGGCCACCTTCTTGGAGAAAAGGGACACTCGGCAGCTGGACGCAGTCTCCTTTGCTAAAAGGCTTCGGTAGGGAGATGGATGGGGAAAATGGGGAGGAGAAAAAACATACAAAAAGGAGGAAGGGAGAAGAAATGTGGGGAAAACGGGGAGATCGTGAGAGAAGGGAGGCGCTGAATAAGGGGATGGGAAAATGTGAGGAATGGCGAGAAGAAGAGAAATGAGGAAAAGGGGGGAGAAAGAAGAAAAGTGGGTGAAAGCAAAAAGGCATTGAGGGAAAGAAACCCCAAAAGACGTGGGGAGCGCGAAGCCGCTCCCGCTGCGATCACCCGGGGCCGGTGCGGCGGGGCCGGGCGGGGCGGGATGGGGCGGGCACAGCCGGTCCCAATCCCGCCCCCTTTCCCCTCCCTGCCGTTCCCCCCACCCGGCGGGGCCGGGGCGCCGCGGCCGCGTGTCGGTGTCGGAGGCGGCGCGGCTCTGCGATGCGGCGTGAGGCAGCGCCGCGCCCCCGCTGCCGGAGGAGCCGCTCTGCCGCCGGCCCCGCGCTCCCGCCGGCAATGATCTCCTGAGGGGCCGCGCCCGCCCCGCCGCACGGGTGAGTGCCGCGGCTCGCCCGGAGCCGCTCCCGCACTTGGCGGAGTTTCGGGGTCCGAGAGGCGCTGCCCTCCGCGGGGGAGCCGCGGCCCTTCGGGGTGGCTCCGGGTGTGCGTTCCCGATGCGGAAAGTGGCTCTGTGCAGCGGGAGGACCCTGCCCCGCGCTCCGGATGGCTCGGCCGAGCTTTGCCCGGAGGGATGCGCGGTGTATGGTGGTGGTGGGGGGGGGTGATGGGGCTCCCGCGGGGAAGGGACTTGTGGAAGTGACCCGGGGGTGCGCGGCAGGAGCGGGCTGGCGGGCTGAGTGTTCAGAGAGTGCTGTGGAGAGAGGATTCGGCGCTTCGGGAGCAGCCGGTGAACGCAGGCAGAGATGTGGCTGAATCGGGGAGAAAACGCGGTACGAGCATCCGGCTGGGCTGTGGGGTCACCGGGCGGGTACCGAGGGGACAGCCAACAGGTGCCTGGGGAGTCTCCCTGGCTCGGCCGTTGCCGTCATTGCTCCGGGAGGTGCGAACTTCAGGATACGAGAGGCTGCCCGCATGGGAGGGTAAAGCCCAGGTGTGCCCTGCATTGATTACTGGGTTGTGTTTTTTTTTCCGGCTGGGAAAATGTATCCGGTAACAAAAACTTTCTAAGAGCAGTAATGGATTCTCAACGCGGAGCTCCTTTCCCGAAGTGTTACGGAATTTTCACAGGCTTGTTTGTTGTATTGACAGCACATTTAATGTTCTGGTGGTCGTCTCGGGGAGTAGCTAATACTACAGCGGATAGGGTTTGGTCTGCCAGCAGTAAGAATGTTCATTGAACTGCCTTTGCTTTAGCGTTTGTAAATTTCATGTATAATGCATACAAAGCAAAAAAATCAGCTAGAAATATACATCAACCTATGAAAAGGTATGAAGCCCGTGGCCGCAAGTACTTCTTGTTAAGTCAACTTTCAAAGCAGCTTCTCTCTAGACAGCAGTTCTCATTTTTCAAGGGGAGAGAGGATGGGTGAAATTGAATTGTCCAAATTAAGTCAAAATGAATCGCTTAATATTCAGAGGGGTTGATAAATGAACCATTAAATCAACACTTCCATAGTGTCTCATTGGAAAGGAAAATGAACAACCCTCAGTTGTGTGCTGGGCAGAACAGGTCAGCCGGCGCCGTTCCGGCATCAGCGTGCTGAACGGAGTCCTCCTGCTGCCGATGGGTGTATTTGCTCCGTGACATTACACGGGGATGGGAGCAAGCTCTCCTGCTCTGTGCAGTGAGGAGTAGACTCTGCTATAAGTAACCATAATTGTCCCAGTTTCCTCTCAAAGGAGAGAAATCCTGGTTATGGTTATTAACATAATTCCATTGATTTCTCATGTTGATGTGTATCTGTTGAGAATCTGCTCTTGTATTTCGGAATACTTTTTCCAATTTTTTTTTTTTCCCTGAGGAAGAGCTATATTTTTGAATGCTAGTTTGAGGAAAAAAAAAATATACTGATAAATGGGGAAATGAGAGTCATCATTTTGAAACAAGCCAGATGAGGTGCCTTATAGTAAAATCCCTTTTGAGAGCAGAACCTCTCAGTAATACAGTACGTGAGCTCTGCTTGTGAACCCTCTAATTAGCATAGGTACAGCTCTTGCAGTATTCTGGAAAACTACCTTTGTCTTTGCCCCTTGAAGTCTTTGAAATACTTGTGCTGGAGTGGTGTGAGAACAACTGAGGATGTTGACTTTATCCTTATTGTGCCTTCTGGAAACTTCCAACACTTTGAAGCATTGTGGATCACATGCCCCTGATGTTTTTCATTTGCACCTTTTTGCTTTTGCAGTAACGTAGCAAGTTTTGCTGAAAGCTTTTAAAGCTTCAGGAGCGACAGCTCTTTTGTTTTTTGCATTCAAACTGAGTGTTACAAAGAGGAAATTATGGTGAGACTTGTATTTCTTAAATGCTCAGAGAAACAGATTATTCAGGCTCCAGCTGAAGGTGGGACTGTAAATCGACTCATGACTTGAGAAAGCTTCTTGCCTACATTTCATTCAGCCAATAGAATCTGTATGAAACCTTTAGACAGGCAGGGCCATTTATTCAGCTGTTTATAATTATATATAGAACTATGTTACATAAGGAGATCTGTTGCTCTTTATTTAAGGTGATGTGTGTGGACGCAATGTTTGTGTGTGTGGATCCCCCAGGTAATGGGTTATTAGGTGGGTGCATCAGAAGTTGTTTGAATGCATTGGGAGTTTTATGTCATGTATGATGAAGCAGATGGACACGTAGGTGTGCTTCCCTCATGGGAGAGGAGGTTGTGGATCTGGAAATGCCTTTAGATAGTGTCTGATGGTGGTGTTCATTCTCCAAGTGTTTTGCTGTTCTTAAGGGCCAGGGTAGCTGTGGGTGGTTTTGGGTACCAGCAGTGCCTGTTTAGACTAGCCTTTGCTTGCTTCTAATCATCCTCAAGAATAAAAGAAGTAAAAATGTTTCTCTGAAAACCTCCCATGCCTCATAAGGTTACCCTGCTGCTTCTATTTCCTCACTTTCTATTTTTCTTTGAAATCATAATGCATTTCTTTAGTCCTTTTGATAAAGACTTGAACTCGGGCTTGCTGGGAAGTGGTCACTATTCTGAGAAAGTGCTGGTATCTTATTGACTTATTTTGGGAATGATGGAAAAAAGTATAAAAGATTCACTTGCATTGATTAAAGCCTCCAGGGCAATCTTCTAACACTGCAGTTCTCTAGGTGAAAAATTAACTTTCTTCTTTGTCTACTCCTGCTTTTATTTCATTTGTGAGAATCCCAGGCGCTGTTATCAATTTACATCAAGTCTTTTAGGTGTGCTTGAAGTGGGAAGTAGCTTAGTCTAAAAGCTCACCCATACGATCACCCTTGGAGTCCATTTGTCTCCAGCCACCAGCAGATACACCTCGATGCCATTGGCCCCCCCCCGAACAGTAACAGAGGCAGGATTTGTGCCAGCCCATAGTCCCTCACCCGGGAAATGTTTCCTGAGTGATTGTATAAAAAATAATTAACAGCTACCTTGATGCTTTTCCGGAGGTTTTGGCAAGATAGCACTTTAGCTGCAGCTTAATGACGAACTTTGATTTATGAGGTAGCTGAAAGTGTTTCAATTTTTGGATATGGAGTGGAAGTGCAAGAGCTTTCTGCATTTCACCTGCAGCTTTCCAGCACGACGTGCAGCTAACAGCTTGTCTCTCATTGATTTTAATAAGAGATTTTTGCTGAATATGCCTGGAGTAGTTTGAAAACATATTGTTACTTTTTTTTTCTTGGGCAGTATGTTACTAAACACGGTAAAGAATTTTGCAATGCCTTTTGAAATAACTTTATACAAGTATAATTCATGTATCAGTGCATTTTCCCTGTGAATTCTGTGCTTTCTTTCCCTCTCAGCCATGCTCAATAGCAGTTCACCTGGATGTGGCTTCTATCTGACTTGTTTTGAAATGGTTCAGAAGTATCCCCTTGACATTGCTAGCCAACAGATCACACTTAAAATCTTACCATTCTGGTGTCAAGCCTTTTCCTACTTTATTTCTCTCACCTGCACCTTGATTTTTGACATATTTTTAGCTGCTATTCTGTTGAATTTGAGTACAGGCAGTGAAAATGGATTTGTTGGGGTGTTTTTTTTGTGGGGTTTATTTTCTCCTTTGAGAAATGGAGGATTTGGCTTTTCACTGGAGATGGAGCACTAGAGTGATTATCTCCTTCCCTTCTTAGTAAGGAGGGATTCTGGTACCTCCTAGGAGGTCAAAGCTTTATGAAATCTCAGCATCACCACTCAGTTTAGCCAGAGAATCTGATACAGACACTGGGGTTGTATTGTTGTTTTTTTTTTTTGGTAAGGTAATGATGGCTTTAAGAATCTGGTATTGCACAGAAACCTCCCTGAATCTAATGTGTAGGAAAGTGGTAAACGTGTAGCACTGGATTATGGTAATATTCCTGTTATGGCCCCTTTTTAGTCCCAAGGGAATGGTAGGGTTTGTCAGGTTGGAGAGCTACCATGAGTGCAGAAGAGCAGTTCTGGGACCATGTCCAGGGAGATGGCCGCTGCTGGGATGAGCTAAGATGTGCTAGGATCACCCCAGCACCTGGAATATTGGTGTAGTGTTTTTATCCATGCCTTGTATGGAAGACATGAACAGGCTCATTTCTTCTTTGGAAGCATGGCAGCTAGGCTAACCATTAAGTTAAAATCTCTCCTGCCTCCTCTGGAGGTTTGCCTGGTTTGTAGCTGTCATTGGCCATCGGCTGCTGTACTGGTTTTGATGCATGAGCAGGTACTTGTGCCATAGGAGCTTGTGCCAGCCCCGGTACAGCTCTGCATACCTGTGCTCAGCCCTGAGTTCTGCCACGGTGGGTGGGAACTACAGCCTGGCTTTTGATAGTCATTAATGTGCAGCTGAGCAGATCTCCATGCCTGGTTTTCCCCCTTTTTTTTTCTCGTGCTAGCCTGAGAAATAACGTTTGTTTCTTGCAGTAGTGCTGCGACTGAAAGGCTTCTTGCTGCAAGGCCGCTCCGTTATTCTCTGTAGTGCTTGGATTGCTCAGCAGAGGGAGAGCAGACCGTGTTCGCACAAGGCACCCAAAAATGCCAGCAGACACATCGCTCCGGCTGACTGTGAGGAAAGGAGTCCCAAAGCTACCTTCTCGCTGGGTTTTTTTTATCTCTTCCCTTCTTGTTTTGAAGCTCAGAGCCAAGCTGTGATTTTTCACCTCTTGATCAAAAATAGCTGCCTCAGTCTGTAGGTTAATGGACTATTTCAGGTGTCAGAGCAGGATAGAAAAGATGTGTCCAAATCCAAGAAGCAGAAAAATCTTGTGAATCCAACTCCTTTCTAAATATTCAGCAGCTAAATATTTAGGAAGAAATGCTGGAAGTTGGCCTGTAGTGACCGAGGCTTTACAGCATAGCCAGAGATAAACAAAAGAAGACAAATCCAAAGCCATACCCCTTGAAGTAGTTAAAATTCAAGCAGCAAGCAG